GAGAACGAGATGAAGGGAATTCTCGGCTACACTGAGAAGGCTGTGGTGTCGAGCGATTTCATCGGCGACTCGCACTCGTCGATCTTCGATGCTGAGGCTGGCATTGCTCTGACCGACGACTTTGTGAAGCTTGTGTCTTGGTATGACAACGAGTGGGGTTACAGCTCGCGTGTGCTGGACCTGATCGAGCACATGGTCAAGAACGAGTAAGTTTGCATTGATGGTGTTGCTACGTTCGACTTGAAGTATGTGCTGGTGCGTTAGATGAGTGCACGCCAGCACTCTAGAGATTTGTGTCGTGCGGAGTTGCATACGGCCCCCTTCTTATCAGAGCAGCGTCGACAAGTTTGCTGTTGTCTGTATCAATAGAAGTATGAAACTCATGACGAACTGTTGCTTGTTGAAGTTTTGGTTCCGCCGTTGCCGCTAAGTAACTTAGTATTTGCAAAGTGTGGTAACAAGTGCGAGCATTGATGACGACCGCATCTCCTCTTTGCTGGTCAGAGATGCAGCCGCACAAAGAGCTTTACAAGTGCGAATCACATTGATTCAACGCAAAAGCAATCACTACGTCAGCCAACGTCACCATCTTTTGAAGTTCCCTCTTCGGGGCACCTGTGGTCCACCTCGTTTTGGTTACCAGATCTCGAATGACTTTTCATCGGTCTCTCCGTTAAAAAAACCCACAAGTGTTTTTCAAATCACCCAAGAGCATTTTGCGCAGACAAGGTCCGGCAGTAAAAAAAGCCGCGCTCCAGACGGGCATAGACAGAGCTATTGGTGCTTGGGTTCATGTCTCGAGATTTGTAAACAATAGTACAATCAAGTCATTTACAGTCCCTAACAAGCAATCAGCAAAAAACCTCGTCTTGAAGTTTTAATAAAAAGTACTTTGTATAGGAAAAAGTGCGCAATGGTTTCGGCCCCCCTTTTGATCTTTTTTTATTATGGTGGGCCATAAGCTACATGTTAGGCAAGAACTTTTTTTTTAAAAAAAAGTGCTTTATGGCAATAACTGAGGCTCCACGGTTCTCCAGTGGTCTCCGCTAATGCGTCATTCTTAGATCTGCCTTCCAAGTGCACAGCTACTGAACACCTGCAAACCATGGTTAACGTTGCCATCAACGGTTTCGGTCGCATTGGCCGCCTCGTGCTTCGCGCCGCTGCCAAGAACCCGAATATCAAGGTTGTCGCTGTGAACGACCCGTTCATCGCCACCAAGTACATGGAGTACATGCTCAAGTACGACACTGTGCACGGCCGTTTCGACGGTAAGATCGACCACGATGAAAAGAACATCTACGTTGATGGCAAGCCCATCCGTGTGTTCAACGAGATGGACCCCGCCAACATCAAGTGGGGAGAGGAGCAGGTGCAGTACGTGGTGGAATCCACGGGTGCCTTTACGACCCTCGAGAAGGCATCGGCTCACATGAAGAA